GAATTTTTTTTTTTTTTTTTTTTTTTTTACGTGGTCACTTTTCAAAACTACCCTCGTCACGCACGGCCTATGACCCTTAACGTGCGTGAGTGGCGGACACGGTGTCTCCGGTTACTTATCGGTTCCATGTGCTTCGGGTGTCAAGTTGAAACTAAACAAATTGCCGGGCAAAAGCCAACGAGCTGCGAACCCTATCCGGACTGTTTCTGGTGAGCTTTTGCTTTCTCCCTTTTCTGGCTTTACTTATGGTTACTTTTCTTTCTTACGTGTTTCCACGTCTGCGTCTTCTTCTTGCGCTGAGCGTCTCGCGGCTTCCACGGGGATAACAGCTGGTCCCTTCCCTGTACCAGTGGCAGACGAGCTGTATAAATTAGTCAGTAGACAGGTACATACGGGGATTCACGTGGTCTACTGATGCCAGATCGATAGAAGAATTTAATGTTTGCGAATTTTTTTCAAAAGTAGGGGTACGCGAATTTTTGGATTCTTTTACATGTTAGAACCCTCTGATTTTTCATCGTGCTGCTCGACCTACTCATTGAACGTTTTTTTTCTGTGACGTATCTGAATTCTATTTTTAGGACAGTTTTTGATTTCGTATAGACGTGCGTTTAATGTTCGCACTGAAGACTCACAGCCGTACGACGTCCCGACGCCGAAGACGACGTCTAGCGTCTAGCAAAGCTGACTAATAAACGACTTCCTAAGGAAGCCAAGGATTAGGAGATTAGGGTGGTTGAGACCCAGCTCCCTGACTTTCTCGCCCTTCTGCAACTAGTCTAGACTCACAGGTGCTCGCTCCACGCGGCCGTACTTCAACCATTCCACCACCCCTCCGACGCTTCCAAGTCCGTACAGCCTCAAGCTCCTGTTTGCTTTAGTAATTATTGGCTACGCGGCTGCTGTGATCCTAGAAAAAAAATTTTCAAGGATGTCACACCAGGACCCTTCCGTACGTGACAGGATAAAATTTGTCTCAGGTCCATATCCATCCGTACCGTCATTCGTCCCTGATAAATAATCTTGACAGATCGGTGAAAAAAAAAAAAATTGTTCCATTGACAAAATAATTTTATCCAAAATTATTTTCCCCATAAATCATCAGTCACGGGCTAAAATGACTCGAAAGTCCTACGGAGCAGAGTGCAGTAACGATAATTTGCCTAGCAAGAAGTCCCTAGTCCGTGAATTTCATGGGATCCATCCAGGACCGAGCCAGCTGTTCCAGTTGACGTTTTACTGACCCCCCTAACCCTCTGCCCTTCCGCTGCGCCCAATAAGGACACGGCCCACTAACCACCCACGATTTTTGCGTCACGTGTTACCTCATTCAAAATATACGTGCGCGTTCACACTGTCCCTTCGCGACGACGATAAATAACATCAAGAGCCTATTTTCGCCATTGCGCGTTATTAGCATACAGCGTCGCGACGCCCCACGCTTACGTACCCCCCTCGTACATAAGATAATTGATAACAAGCCATTAAGTGGATTTGAACGCGGACCCTCAAAAGTCTCTGGCATCCTTCCTAATTCCTGTGGTATAACCGGTAAACGTTTTCAGTCGACCCAATAAACAGAGGCTGAATGTTCCAAGGGAAAATACGAATTCAGAATCGCGACTGCTAGTGAATGAGACGGGGAATGAACCTGTAGGTTGGCAATGGGTAGTAGGTAGTACGCGTAGCTGGTCGGGATCCAGAGCCGACCGTAAAGTCCATAGGGATTAGCGGACGCTAATATATCCCACGGGTAAAAACGCGCCGAGCAGCTGAGATATTCGTCTCGTCTCCCCTTGGCGTGGCTCGCCGGTTTGTCTTTGGCATAAAATAACTCGAAGCGCGAAGAAAAGTAATAAATTCGTGAGCTACACCCTCGACTGGGTCCGACGTCTTTCTTACGTTTTCTTTCTATTATCTTTTTTACCTCTCTCTTTCTCATTCCCTTCTAGTAGTCGCTCGGTGGTACTTTTTTTTTTTCAAGGTTTTCTCTCTCTGTCTCTCTCGGTTCAACATCTTTCTCGTGCTTGCGTGCGGGATATGGGGATCGTTATAATTGATGTACTTTTCAGTGGGGTTTGGCTGAAGACACGTGGTTAAATGTCTGTAGAGTAGACCCCGTCGCTCGTTAAGGAGGAAAAGTATGAAAAATGGCTAAGGTACTTTTTTCTTTTGCTTTCTAGCTTTTTTATTTCTGATAAAAATGGCTAGTTGGATTTTGATATATTTTTTTTTTGCTCACGGAAAAAAAATGCAATTTGGAACGGAGAGTGGATTTTAGGTTTGGTGATCTTCTGTAATACGATCGTTCCCACGGGTACTGTCGATACGAAGAAAGCGGAGGATAGTAAGAGGAGACGTAGCGGCTGAGAAAGATAATATTGTGGGAATTGATGAAATATGAAAAAAAAATTTTTTTTTGAAAAAAATGGATGAAGCGTCGAAAAAAATTTTATCCGCGAAATAAGATGTTTCGTTATCTTCTGCAGCCGCCGACGGGCATTCTTTCGCGTGGACCAATCGATCGGAGGGTTGGTTCCCTTCGGCGAAAAGGGCGCCTCCGATATCCATGGGGGTGGCTCAAGTGTGAAATGTTTGACAGGAAGGGTGGAGTGAGTCCGGCCACATTCCGCCCCTCGGGATCGCGCAGGTCAACTCGCAAACTCTACCGGGTGTCCGACGTGATGTTTCTGGAGCAAAGTAACGTAATCGTCAATTGACCCGACGCCTTTCGAGTCTCCAGGAACTCCGCAGGGAATTACGTGGGAATGGAAGCACGCGTAACTGTCCTTTTGTTTCTGAAAATTTTTTGGTAATTTACAAAAATTAATTTTTCCCGAAAAAGACACCAGTCAAAATTGGTCGGACCTTTTTTCTCACACTATACAGCGCGTTCAGGTATTTCCGATATAATTTATCCATAAGGATTACGTGTAAGAACGGCTGTTATATTTGACTACAAGGAAATATCGATAACGCCTCGTTATCCTGTCCCAGGTCGAGGTCTCCTTGGGGATCGGGACCGACAAACAACCGACGGCCCGGTCGTCGCTCAAACACCGAAACCTCTTACCCTTAGTATATCAGATCCCTTCGTGTACGTACACGTGTTCCGACCAACCGACCAAATAGGTAACCGATCTGTTTGTTTCCAGAAGATTACGGACATTGTCGGACAAAGCTATTTACACGTGTTTTTGATAAATGCCGACTGTATCTCGTGTATTCGTCAAATATAGGTAATAATTTGTATTTTTTGAAAAAGAAAGATTTTTTCAAATTTCTACATCACAATCTGAGGGTACGCGCAATCGAGTTTGAAAATATTTATACGGAAAGTCAAGCGGTACCGCTTTGCCTTACCTACGCTACATTTTTATCGCTCTGACGTGCGTCTCCCGAGAGTGAAAGAGAAAAGAGAAAAGAAGTGACAAGCGAGCAGCGAACTCCATGCGAGTCGTCGTCGTCGCTCTAAATCAGACGGAGTTATGTGCCGACTAATTGTGAACCACATCCCGCCTTCTTGCCAGCCCCGTTAGAAACCAAATATAACTAAACCAAACGAAACGAAGCGAAGCTAAACGACCAGGCCGATTAACATCTCAGCCACGCGATGCCTTGACAGACCCTCTCTGCCCCTGCTCTTGACTAACATCCCGGGAGCGCGAATGAGCCGGACAAGTTTTTTTTTTTTTATGTAGTGGCACAACCAGTCAGTAGATAAATTAACCGGGACTTCCCAGAGGCGGGACTTTCGATTAACGTCTACGAGCTTAAACCCATTGTTTCCCTGATCGTTTGTAACGAGCTGAGAATTGGTGAATTGAGAGGAAAAATTTATTTACGTGTATTTATCACTGAATGCGAAAAGTATCAGAAGACTGTCGAACTTACGTTTACGTTTACAATGGAAATTTTTATTATTGGGAATTCTTTAAAATTTTACGAATACTTTGCTAGCACGTGTTTCTACGCGGACCTAACTTCAGCTGGGTTTGGGTTATGTGTTACGGGAAATACGGCTAGCGCTGCTCGTAAAACTGCCTTCGTGCGCTTGTATATCTTCCGGAATAATAGCCGCCGAAAAAGTTGCTTTATCCGAGTGGCAGTGTTTTCCGCGTTACTGGAGGGTTGTTGAAAAAAACGTGAAAATGAAGAAAAAAGAACTAGAAAATTCTTCAGCACGTAATACAGTCACGGAGTGATCGAAGATCACGTCATTGTATTTTAATACGGTGGAATGCGTGAGTTTAGGATAGGAAGAAAAAATTTAAATAAATAATTGACTAGACCTGTCCACGAAAATATTTGAAGCTGGTGTCGGTCCCTGTCCGCCATGTCGGAATGTCAAACAGTAGCTAAGCTCAAGGGATACGCTACCGTAATATGTAATTCTTCTTGTAGATAAAATATCTGAGTGAGATTAAAGGCCGCAGCTTCCAAGGCAAATAGAAGGAAAACAAATCTGTTTACACAGACTTCGTAGGAGCTTTTCTCTAATTACCATTTAGACGTATTATTCAGTTATATATATCAGTCATAATGGCTATAGTACAGTCTAGAAGACATTGCAAGAGGATATCCGGATGTGTTACAGTGTGGACTCAGAGTGACTTCCGGGGCGGGACTAACGGCGGACTTGCAGGACTCGATTCCACTGGTCATGGCTCTCACACTCCTGGAGGAAGTACACCAAGCACACCCGGCGGTACACCCACCACACCGTCCGGAGGATTTTCCACGGCTCAACCGAGAAACCGATCGAACACGACCAACAGGCCCGACATATTGAAAGGTACGTAAAACAATGTTATTGCTTGGTACGAAGTCTTTACGTGCCTCTAGTAAGTATAAGAACGTCCATAAATACCTGTAGAATCAGTCAAGTGAAGTTGGCTACTCTTCTCCGCCGAACAAGTATTTCCGCCATCCGCCATCTTACATTAGACACTCCCCCGCGCGTCGTCGGCACGAGAATCGCAGAGGGCCGTTGCGCTGGTTTGTTTGCATGTTTGTTCTGCACTTAGCCGGCCAAATCCCCGCAAATTGAAATATCCCGGGAGTCTTACACTCCTGGTTAACAACACCAGGACAGATCTCACTTCACTCGAGTAATCCTAGGGATGAAGGGGGAACTCTCGGCACTTCTTAGGCAAGTCCGGCACGTACCGGTCGCAAGAAACAACCCCGCGTGAACGGAGAGCCCAGACTGCGCGCACGATGTTTACGAAGTACCGGGTTCGAAACTATAGCTGAGTAACATGGCCTACCAAAGCTAGAGCGTCTCACGAGTGTCAATAAAATATACCTAAATCCCAATTCACAGTGCTTCTTAACGACTCCACAGCAGCACCGATTCACAGTAATCATGACTAGCCTCGTAGACTAAATAAATCTTGCGTCGCACTGTCCTTCGTTACCGACAGTGTCAAGATTATCGACTGCAACTCGCTGACATATTACTGTTCAAAGAGACTTAAGCCTTTGAAAATTTTTCATCGAGCCGTTGGCGAATATTAAAGAGAAAACAAAATGAATCCCAACTAACCACGGAACACTCGACTGCAAAGGCTTATCTTGCCAGACCGGTAATGTTTTAGGCGCCAGTGTAGTGTGTACATACTGTGGAGAGATGGCGCGCATAGCTTACGTGTTTAGTATACGCCAGGTACAAAGAGAAGTGGTTGGTCGACCTTCTCTATTCGTAAGCGGATTTCGCTCGACGTTTGGCGTTCGTCTGGCGTAACGCGTATTTCACTCCAACCAAACTACATATACGGAGACTCCGCGTAAACGTGCAATGGTATAGCGTTCGGTTTTCGACTATGAGTTGGTATCATCATCAGCCGCATGCGGTGATAGCGGTTCTCTTTGAGTGGAGCTAATCAATCACGCGGCTGTCAGTACGAGTAAGGGAGCGGTTCGTCCAACGGGGCAAAGGGATGGAATACCCTCACCTGTCACTGTCACAGTCATGACAAACACGCACGTACAATTCACACTCGCATTTATCCACTCGCACCAATATAACGCCAGAAAGGTACACCCGACGTCGGCAGAGATTACTGTTCAAACGATCCGCGTGATCTATAGGCGCTACTCCACGTAAACCTAAATGCTATCGATACTTTTTAACCTAGCTATACATACCTATATATACACGCGCGCGATACGTATCGTCTTTCGAGTACCTACCACGTCTCTTTTTTTGTCTGTGATACTTTTTCGATCGTCTTGATCATCGTCATTATGGGTAGTGTCTTCTGTTGTTTATTTCGAAAAAATATATATATATATACTGCATTTGGCCTCGAGTACGTTTGTATATCTATATAGAAGTACCTAACTACCTTGGCCACGTGATGGTATCCGATGGTCATTGATCTTTTCTACGTAGGTATTTATTTGTATGGGCTTTTAATTAGTTCGTAGGATTCTTTTTGATGGAGTCCAGTCGGGCGTGCCTCTTTCACGGGTACGTGATGTCTTATGGGTTTTGCAGGTGTTCGAACGCCCACGGAAGTGAAACACGAATTGGGCGGTGGCGTAGTCTCCCCTGCTGGGGGTGTCGGGGTCAATGATGCGGACGATAAGGATGGAAAAAAAAATAAACGCCAGAGGCGACAGAGGACGCACTTCACGTCTCAGCAGCTCCAGGAGCTCGAGGCTACCTTCGCGAGGAATCGGTACCCCGACATGTCCTCCAGGGAAGAGATCGCCATGTGGACTAACCTCACCGAAGCTCGTGTCAGGGTGAGTGATATTTTGTCGTTAGGAATCCAAGTTCACTCGTTCATTCTCTTATCTCATTGCAGTCAAGAAAATAACAATGACGTTGATACACACGGCGCGCGTTATTAGGAAGATCACAGATATAAGGTGGCTGATGACGATCTGAAAAAAATGCTCAATGATTCCCACGGTACGAAACGGCGCCACACGCTATACACTCTCGTGCTTGACTACCGCCCCCTTTAATACCTTAAGTCCTGGCGCTTCTTCGCAGCCGACCGAAAATCCGAGCTAAAGGTCAGAATAACAGAAGTGTAATCCATGCTGTGGCAAAGTTTCTCTTGCTCTTGGGTTCGGGTCAGGGTAGGTTACGAGGGGGCACACAGTGAACGCATTGACGCGTATCCATTACAAAATCAACAGCATCTCATTGCCGGTCCATATTACAGAACTCGTTGAAAGGATGAGCCGGGAAATAGACTGTAGAGAAAAGAAAATACCAGTGACGGAGTAATTTGAAAATGATGAATGTGAAGTAAAAAAAAAAGGGTGGGGGGGTGCCCCGTCTCAATTCACTGGCGGAGAACGAAAGAATGGATATAAATGACGTTTACCAGGTGTCTGGGGGTAATCTAGGGATTTTTCTTACTCGAAATCGAATCCCGTAAATCAGTCGAATTTTTTCGACGAAACAGTAACTTTCTTCCGTTGCACCGCGGTGCTCTTCGGGGGTGACCGTTCTGTCTGATGACCGAAGCGAGAGACTAAGTGCGGTGGGGGGGAGGATTTTCACATGGGGGATGCGCACCCCCACGGGGAAGGCTTTGCGCCAGTAAGCCCCTACGGATTTATAGAACCACACACAGCACACAGTTGCTCTCGTGGCACGCTACTATACGCCATGTACCAAAATGCTGCAGATCCTAGAGCGTCGGTGGAGTCGCTGGCGTCGGTACGCCCGTGCTCGTTCGCAAACTGTAACACTGGCAGAACATTCTTCATGCTGAACCTTGTAAACCCCTGGGCTCTTCGTTTAACGAACTACGACCGCGCGCACTTCGATTGCCGAACTGCAGTAGTAAAATCTTCGACAATTAACCTCTCCGTTTTATCGAACATAACCATAAAATGGTATCGACGCACGTCGAGTCACCGCGTATACTTAGCATACGTATCCCAAAGAGAATACGGTGTTCCAACCTCGATATCCCATAGCGCTACGGAGCACTAGCGACACCTACCTTGTTATGAAGAATCTGACGAAGATTGGCGGGAAATTCAAACAGGCCATCGCTCTCCGACGTAGTAAAAACATAAGAGGCACAATCGGAAAAGGAATTTGACGCGAGTAAATTGACGCTCGCAGTTATCTACGAGGAGGCAGGCGCGTATGTTTCGGTACGTAGTAGCGGAGGCTGTCCGAGATAATCCGCCGGTGATTAAGACCATAAATCCATCGTCGGATTAGTATGGTTGCAGCGCACAGGGCGCGCGCGAACGCACAGTACCACCACCACCGCTATTGTGCCAATACCAGCAATAGGGGGTACCAGTACCATCGGTATCATCAGCACCGTCACCCTCCGCCCAGCCTCCCGGTCCATAGCGTACTCCGCACCAGCAGCCGTACAGCTCCACTCTAGCTTATACTCTATGGCTACGGGGTATGGGTAGTGAGTAGTGGACAGTCCGTAGTCGCAGAGGGAACGGGCAGCCATGGAATATAGGTAGACACTAACCTGTACGGGAGTGAGGATTACCGGTGTCATCCGTATTCGGCGGGTTAGCGGCTGTCAACGGTCAACGCCATTGGTGTATATCAATTATTAGCAGCGACACCAACGGGTTGCATTCGGCTATCGTTATCACGTAGACATGCGATTTGCATCCGGTACCTATACGTATACCTATACCTATACGTATACAGGCATAACTATATATGGGGAATGACTTTGAGATTTTTTATTTTTTTTTTATTACGAAAATTTTCGAAAAAATATACCATCCTCAAGTAGACGGAAATTGAGGTGTAGGCTGTTCAAATTTCGGATCTCGCTTATTTCACGAAAAAATTTTTTTTTTTTTTTGATTTCACAGCGAAACTTTACGAGCGCTATTTTTCTAACCTTCTTTTCTCACCCCGAGCGACTTGACGGCGCGTAAATAAAATGAGGCTTAAATGCATCGTAAAGGATCTTCATCGTAAAACAAATCGATATCTTTCCTTACACACAAAGTACCTATACCTTCGATCGTATCCTGTACCGAGGTAAAGAAAAGCAGTGGGGATGCACAAAAAAATTACAGCCAGACTCACCGGTCCTCCTATAAACCTTCAAGTAGCCGATATGGATCATCCGTCGATGAACGATCGTCATCGGTGTCAGATATACAGCTGATGGGTCGAAGATTAAAAATAACTAGAAAATTGAATGACAGCCAAGATTTCGGCATATGAATTGAATATACTTGTAAATAGCAAGGAACTATCAGTCCCCGTGCAGCGCGAATTGCGAAAGTGTTAAAGAGAGTACGAGGTGGGCATTAAAAATCACGCGTTTCGCTTGAGCTCATAATCTCGTATAATCTTTTGCAAAGTTGTTAATACTCGCGGCTTACGGGTGTTAATTTAATATCCATACAGGTGCGCCAACATTGAATATCCGAATCCCACTGGTGCACTGCTCTACTACGTTCCACCACTACAACGATAAAAAATCCATAAAACTGTTCAGTCCTCTTGTTCTCTCTTCCTGTACACGTACCTGTGCTATATATATATATATATATATATATCCTACTCTCTGGCATTTCTATCGCAACACCGTATATAGCTGCCTGCTCCACGGTACTTTAACGTGCCGTAATGCTCATCCGCCAGCCCTACGGTTACGTGTACATATACAGGGTGGCGTACAATAATGTAAAAAAAGAGTAAGTACGAAAAAAAAATGGCGTAAGCATCACCTCGTTATCCGTGACCACGGCGACATTCATGGCCAATTACAAATAAGGGTCGCGTAGCCAAATCCCGTGGGATCATCGGGATCACGTTGGCCTTTCCTGTTCACCTGAACCTAGCGGACTAATCGAAATGCCTCCCTTTCTTTGGAACAGTCTCTTTTTCTTTTTATCTTATTTCACAAACTTCCCTCGCGTAACAGAGACTTTGTATATCGTGGGGTCAATGGCGAATTATGAGGAATTTTTTTTTTTTTTTTTTTCATTTTTTGGAAATTCTACAACAGGCTTCATACGGCGATATCTAACGTGCCGTGGATTTGGGTAGTTATTACGGTCGTGAGTGGAAAAATTTTTTTGTTTCATTTCGAAGATACAGGATCTTTTTTTCACGAAATTGAATTGCTCGCTGCGCGAATCGCAAGTAATGGAGACGGAATGAGAATTCTTTTCTCCACGATCCGGAAGTGACGAATTCGCTTTGGATCCACTCCTGATACTCCTTTATACTTGGCTGTCTGTATATTGTCTTGGCACGAGGATCTTCCACCAATACGGAAAAGCTTGGACCGGGACGTGGGCATTTTCTCGTTGATCCATCTTGACGGTATAGTGAGATTTATGGAGACGGTGCTGCCGCCACTGCCAGTAACGGTTCTCCTAGGAACTCAGTCCCGTAGAGTAGCTGAAACTGCTACTTTGGCGCTGCTGTATTGGCTGAGTGGGTTTCTCTGGGCTTATACATACGTGAAACGATATAGGTATAGTAGCGGGAGGGATGTGGGAACGCTGAGGATGGGAGTCGGGGAGGGAGACGGGAAGGAGTAGAGAATAAGAACAAGGGGAATTCCACATCCATCGTATAGGAACCATGATGGCCGCTTGCCATCACCGCGCGCAGCCGTCTGCCAATGGGCGAATTTCTATGATAAGAAATTTATATCTCGGATCTCTATTATTTTTCCTTTTTTACATGTATTTATCAAAATTATCATTCTCGATGTATATCGGACGATTTTTACGACATATTTGACGCGGCCTGTAAACAAAGCCTTTTCGCGCAGGCGCGTATCGGGACCGATCGAGATTAGGAGTTTGCCTTATCTGTTATCATTGACAAACATATTTATGGGCAATTCGTTCTGGCCTGTCGATATTTCTAGGTTAACCAGCGAGTAGCAATAAACGTGAATCATTCGGTAGCTGCGATCAGTCGCCTAATGATTCCTACGTTCGCGACGTGAGCAGTAGGCGCACTGTGGGTGGTAGTCACCGTAGAAAGGGGCGCGAAAGGGTGAAAAAAAAGAGTCGAACGGGGTAAAAGCTGAAAAAGACGAGGTCACGCAGTGGCGGCGGTTCACGCGAAAAAAAGAAACAAAAAGAAACGGAGAAAATGTTCCAAGGAGAAAAGGGTGGCTCAAAGTTATGGATACTACCGCTCCGTGGGAGGGTTGCGGCGTCAAATCCTCGCGAAGCCCCCGGATATCCGGCGGCTCCTTCACGGAATTTATTTTTAATGAAGTGGCGCCTTGCGGTCTCCACTTCTCCCTCCTTCTTCTTATCCCTCTTCACTTCGCGACCTTTGCGCAAGAAAATTCTTTTTTTTACCCCCTCTCGAACATCGCTCTCTTATCATTCCTCTCGTTCGTACCTACCCCTGTTATCCACGGGGTGTATCCGTTTCAAAATATATTTTTCGGAATTATATGATTTTTTTTTTTTTTTTTTTGAAAAGGTAAAAATAATCCAACTACCTATCCCCGGCTGTCGTCTGACAGAATCTAAGAATTGACGGGGGGGTGAGCGGTCGTAGATGGATGAAGAAAAATGAAGAGAGACAGAATAGAGAAGAAGGCAGGTATAGGTACCCATAGGTCGAGGTCGTAGGTCCGTGCACACGTTAGGTTCAACTCGAGGGATGGTGGATAATATAATGATGGCGTCGGCGGATGCGGAGGGGCGGGGCTACGAGGGGATCAATATTATCCTCTCCTTCCTCCAGTACCAGTACGGCACCACTACCAGCTCCACTGAAGCCAGAGCACCAACAGCTTCGCACTACCACCAGCAGCCTTTACCCTCGTCCTCCTCTTCCTCCACCTACCAGCATCTAGCCCCAGTCTTCTCCCCCTCTCAGTGGAAGCCACTGCCGACCGCGTGTATTTCTCCTCTCTCTCTCTCTCTTCTCCGCCACCCACGCCAATCTCCAGCTACGCACACCACGCATCCGGAGCACTCCTCTACGCGCGTCTGCAGCCAATGCCTGTACTCTCTTTCGGCCCCTCTTTATACTTGGAATACTTCTTCCTCCGTCAGGCTGAGCTTGCACGGCCACACCACGTCGATACCAAGACACCTTTGTCGTACGCTATTCGTAGTTTACTCGATTCACATTTTTTTGGTATAAATCACAATTTTTCTGTAGAAACGTCAAAAGTGAAAATAATGGTTATGGTACCTGAAAAAAATTTTTTTTAATCAGTTTACAATATACAGAAAAATTTTACGATTGGTAATGTTAATGGTTGAATGAGAAAAAATTTTATTAAAAAAATTTTTTTGATAAACTTTTTTTTCAATGCGACGTCATCTGGGACGGGACGGGTCGATTGGTTTTTGACCGTATCGCCATATTGTCGGATCGAGGACAAGGAGGTTTCACGTATTGCGGCTCTCGCGTAGGTCGTCAAAGCACAAGGGGGTTCATCCCCGAAGTAGTCAGCCGAAGGGTAACCACAGCAACCAACGGCAAATCATTATTGTCCGGTTTTCCAGGAAGAAAAGGACACGGTACCAGGATGAACTATCTGAGAAGCCAGCAGTGAGGGGCGAGATGCTGGCTGGGTCGGTTCTTCCATGGAGTACATAGAGAGCCATACTATCCGAGCATAGTCAAAGACTAAGGGTAGTAACGTATAAGGGTGGGGTGATTGATGAGGACCCCGGCCACGGTCTCATTACAGTTATATAAGCTTCCGTAGATTGAGCCGTGCAGAGGCTTACACGCCGGCGAGGGGGTCGTGATTTGATGAGGTTTTATTGCTCGCATGACGTGACAGCAGCCAGCCATTGTTTAAGCGGCTGCCAAGAGGGAAAACTTTCCATCGGGATTTATCGGTCTAGGAACACGTTCGTAAAACGTTCCGAATCGAGTATATCGAGGTCGAACGAGTAATTTGTCGGTCGCGTTAATTGGAAAAATTCCAAATTGACCAATCACCCCTGACCTGCACCCTCGCGCCAGCCATCGCGTACAATGCCACCCCTATTACTATCGACACTGTAACCAAGCATTTATGCGCTATCGGATGCTCTCTTCTTTCAGCCGCTTTCTGTTTTACCGACCCGCCCCTCGCTATTTTTCCTGATCGTCCCACTACTACCCATCTTCTTTTACCGACCCTCCTTCTCTTGATTCTAATCTCTCAGCCATCCTCCCGGTGCCTTCGACTGTCTCACCCAACTTCAGACCTACTCGGCCGATATTCGAAAGTTCATTCATCAGTTTTACGAGCCACCGGACGGCCGTCCCGAGCGTTCGAGCTGGCTACACGGATTTTGCGATGCCGTTAAAGTTTATGGGCGCGGCCCTGTGTATACGGCAGCCAAGCGGCAGCCTCGCCCGCCTCGAGTATATTGATTCTCGAGGTGGTACGCCGTCTCTTCTCTTCTCTTCGTGTACCTTGTGCGTTCTCTTGTCTCGAGTCAACTCTCACTTACCTTTTCGCCAGACACGAAAAGACCCCTTGGTACGAAACGATACTCGCTTCGTATGTCCCTTGCGGAGCTGACTTACGGACCACGTGTACCTTCGGGCTCGACAGCGTGTAGCGGATGGAGTTTATGGTAGCTGTGTATTCGAAAGACCCTAGTAGACTTTATTTACATTTTTTTTAAATTTTTGAAAATTATTTAGAAATTATGTCAACGAGTAAAATGCGAATAACATATGATCCAGAGGTATCGGTAAATTTCCATTGATATACGTATTTGGCACGGTGGTACAGGTATATACCGGGTGGCGAAGAAATGCGATAGTAATCGAAGGGGGTATAATGGAGGAAGGTTGAAGGCATTACTCTTCATTAGACTCTCCCTCAGTTTCAATGACTCGTCGCGCCTCTTAGCGTTTCCGCGACGTGATCGTGGTCCCATCTATCTTTTGAGCATCCCTAAGGTTCTTCGGGAAGAGCTGAATCCTCAGGCTACCCTCTTGGAAGGCTCGATTCGCCGGCATGGTGGAAGGAATGGAAGTGAGGGGGGGGGGAGCGACCCTCTTTCAGTGTCAGAGTCCTGGGGGG